AAACCATCATTCTAAGCAAACTATCGCAAGGGCAAAAAACCAAACACCACATGTTCTCACTCGTAGGTGGGAATTGAACAATGAGAACACTAGGACACAGGAAGGGGAACATCACACACTGGGGCCTATCATGGGATGGGGGGAGGAGGGAGGGATAGCATTAGGAGATATACCTAATGTAAATGACGAGTTAATGGGTACAGCACACCAACATCGCACATGTATACATATGTAACAAACCTGCACATTGTGCATATGTACCCTAGAACTTAAAGTATAATAAAAAAAATAAAAAAATAAAAGTAGAGAGAGTAAACAGTAACACCAGATAGAAACCAAAGACCTATGCAATAGAAATAATAGAATATGACTGATTTGAACTTTCAAATGATGAAAATCAAAAAGGTTTGCTTAAGTATATTAACTAATTGCAAGTTCCAGAAGGGTTTACTGATATCATAGAAAAAAGAGAAGAAAGTCTATCCAAGCATATCATACTGACATTTTCTTTCAGAGAGCTATGAGCTCTAGACATTGCTTTTCGAAAGCATTTTTCTCCAGGGACACCATGCTTGCCACTCTGCTTAAGGATTTACCCTGCCAAGGGAGTTACCATGCCAAGGGTCTTCCCCTCTATGAATTCATTTAACCAAAATGTGTGGACAACATCTGTGACATGAATTTGCTTTGACTCTCTGTCACCTCTAAGAATTTTCAATTTTTTTTTTTTACTTTATTTGATTGAATTAATTCAAAGAGTATTCTTCAGTCTCAGCAAGTATTGGACACAAATGAGCATACATGAATATTTGGATATTCAATAGACATCCCAAATCAACATATGCAAGCCTGAGCTTGTGATCCTATATACCACAAATCTACTCTTCCTAGTCTTTTCCATTGCAGAAATATGTCAAGTCCATTCTTTCATATGCTCATATGAAAAACACAGGAGTCTTCCTGGACTTCTCTCATACTCTACATCCAAGCCATAAGCAAAACCAGATTATTTGCAGAATCTGACTCCTGCCACTAATTCCACTGCTGTCAACCTAGTCTAAGCCACCGTCACATCTCACCTGGATTATTGTATAGCCCCCAAACTAACCTACCTGCTTTCTCCCTTGACCCTATTTTCAAAGAAAAAGCCAGAGTGATCATGTTTAAATGCTGACCAGCTGATATTGCCTCAAGGTCTTTCATCAGCTTTCCATCTCAGAACAAAAGTAAAGGTTTTCATAGTAACCTGCCTTCTGCCCCAACTTCTCCAACCTCATCCCCTAGTACCCTGCCCCTCGTTCACTCTGATTCAGACACCAAAATGGCCCACTTGCCATTCCTTGAACAAGCCAGGAATTCTCTGGCCTCTGAGCCTTTGAACTTGCTTTCGTCATTGTTCTATCATTCTCTCCCCCCGTATGTGTGATTCATCTTTTATCTCCTTCACCTTAGAATTTCATTAACTATTACATTCATAGTGAAGACTTCCCTGTATTTCCAACCTAAAATTGCAAGTCCCTCACTTCCTATCCCTTTCCCTGCTTTATCTGTAGCATTTATCACTATGTGTCAAGCCACGTGTCACATTTTACATACATTCTTTGTTGTATTTCTTCTCTGATTAAGCTCTATGAATGCAGGGGGTTTTGTCTGCTCTAGAACAATGCTTGACATGTAGGTGCTTAATAAATATCAATTGAACTAGAAAAACATTAAAGTATATGCGAATTTTGTGAGCTTGCAGTTTCCTCCTGCATTATTTTAGGACCTCAGCTTGTAGTTTAAGGTTCCCTCTTCCCTCTCTAGCAGTTCCTACAGACATCTGACATGAATAGGTACATTCTTGCCACAGCTGCCCTGTCTCCCCTGCTCTGCTGTAGCTTCTCCTCCATTACCATGATTGGACCTACCCTGTGCATCCACTGCTCATCTTGATGTTCTTGATGCTCCCACTCCCATGGACCCTCCTGACAGTCCACACCATCTCTGGTCACCACCACAGGCCTAGGCTGCTGTTGCTAAGGCCACCCTTGTGTTAAGGCCCTTCTCTACCCTTAACACTTCTGGCCCCAGTATGGCCACAGCATTTTCCTTAATTTCTTGGGCAACTTCTTCACTGATATGGTTGAGATTTGTGTCCCCATCAAATCTCATGTTGAATTTTAATCCCTAATGTTGGAGGTAGGGCCTGGTGGGAGGTGACTGGATTATAGGGGTAAATTTCTCATGAACAGTTTAGCACCAAAACCTTGGTACTGTCCTCATGATCATGAGTGAGTTCTCATGAAATCTGGTAATTTAAAAGTGTGTGGCATCTCCCCCACCTCTTGTTCCTGATCTTATCATGTAAACTTTCTTCTCCCACTTTGCCTTCTGCCATGGATAAAATCCCCCTAAGGCCTCCCTAGAAGCAGATGCCACCATACTATCTGTACAGCCTGCAGAACCATGAGCCAATTAAACTGCTTTTCTTTATAAATGACACAATCTGCAGTGTTTTTAATAGTTATGCAAGAGTGACCTAATACGGAATATTTAGTGAGGTATATAGTGATACCAGGAGTGGGGTATCGCTATAAAGACACCTGAAAATGTAGAAGCAGCTTTGAAATTGGGTAACAGGCAGAGGTTGGAAGAGTGTGGAAGACTCAGAAGAACACAGGACGATGAGGGAAAGTTTGGAATTTCCTCTTCACTGGTTAAATGATTGTGACCAAAATGCTAATAGTAATATCAACAGTGAAGTCCAAGCTGAGGAGGTCTCACATGGAAATGAGGAACTTATTAGAAACTGTAACAAAAGTCACTTTTGTTATGCCTTAGCAAAGAATTTGGCTGCATTGTGCCCTTGCCCAAGAGATATGTGAACTTTGAACTTGAGAGTGATGATTTAGGGTATCTGGCAGGAGAAATTTCTAAGCAGCAAAGCTTTCAAGATGTGGCCCTGGCAGCTTCTAACAACCTATGCTCATATGTGTGAGCAAAGACATGACCTAAAATTGCAACTTATTTAAAGGGGAAGCAGAGCATTTTAAAGTTTGAAAAATTTGCAGCCTGGCAATGTAGAGGAAAAGAAAACCCCATTTGCAGGGGAAGAATTCAAGCAAGCTTCAGAAATTTGCATAATTAAAAAGGAGCCAGTTGCTGATAGCCAAGATACTGGGAATAAGGCCTTGAAGGCATTTCAGAAACCTTTGCAGGAGCCCCTCCCATCACAGGCCCCAATGCCTAGAAGGGCTGAATGGTTTCATGGGCCAGAGCCAGTGCATGGGCCTCTGCCCTGCACAGCATCAAGACAGTTCTCCCTATATCCTGGTGACTCTAGCTCTACCCCTGACTCAAAGGGGCCTAGGTACAACTTCAGCTGCTGCTTCAGAATGGGAAAGCTGTAAGCCTTGGCAGTTTCCACATGGTTTTAAGTCTGCAGGTGCACAGAGTGAAGAGTTGAAATTTGGGAGCCTCCACATAGATTTCAGGGGATTATGGAAAAGACCAGAGGTCCAGGAAGAAGCCTACTGCAGGAGTAGGGCCATCAGCAGAACCTCTACTAGGGTGGTGTAAAGAGTAAGTGTGGGGTTGGACCCCCACACAGAATCACCACAGGGGCACTGTTTAGTGGAGTTGTGAGAAAGGGGCCACCATACTCCAGACCCCAGAATGGTAGATCCACTGACAGCTTTTACTGTGCACCTGAAAAAGCTGCAAGAACTTAATACCAGCCTGTGAGAGCAGCTTCAGGGGCTGAACCCTGAAAAGCCACAGGGCAGAGCTGCCCAAGACCTTGGGAGCCCACCCCTTGCACCAGTGTGCCCTGGATGTGGGACATGGAGTCAAAGGAAATTGTTCTGAAGATGTAAAATTTAATGACTACCCTGTTGAGTTTGACTTGCATGGGGTCTGTAGCCCCTTTCTTTTGGCCAATTTCTGACTTTTAGAATGAGAACGTTTACCCAATGCCTGTACTCCTGTTGTATCTTGGACATAACTAACTTGTTTTTTATTTTACAGGCTCATGGTGGGAAGGGACTAATCTTGCCTCAGATGAGACTTTGGACTTTGAATTAATATTGGAATGAGTTAAGACTGGAGATTGTTGGGAAGGCATGACTGTATTTTGCAATATGAGGTGGACATGAGATTTGTGGGTGCCAGGGGTAAAATTATATGCTTTGGATCTGTGTCCCCACAAAGTCACATGTCGAATTGTAATCCTTAGTGTTGGAGGTGAGGACTGGTAGGAGGTGATTGGATCATGGGGGCAGATTTCTCATGAATGGTTTAGCATTATCCCCCTGGTGCTGCCCTCATGAGTGAGCTCTCATGAGATCTGGTTGTTTAAAAGTATGTGGTACCTCTCCCACTCCCTTGCTCCTGCTTTTAACATGTCAGCTTTCTGCTCTTACTTTGCCTTTGGCCATGAGTATAAGCTGCCTAAGGCCTCCCAGAAGCAGATGCCACTATGCCTCCTGTACAGCCTGCAGAACTGTAAGCCAATTAAACCTCTTTTCACTATAAATTACCCAGTCTCATGTATTTCTTTATAGCGATGTGAGAATGGCCTAATACATTCACTTACTAGTATAATCAGAAACAAATTATTTAAACTCTCTATTCTTCATTAGTCTCATCAGTTAAATGCATATAGTATATATCTCATTGCATTGTTAGACAATTGTAACTAATATATTCAAAGCACTGAATAATGTCTGCTAGAGAAGTGCTCGATAAATACCAACTATACTCACAATCATCATTATTACTATTATTATCCCTCATAAAAACTCTCCTGGGAACCCACAGTCTCAGGCTGTCCTGTGACAAAGGAACATAGCATATCTACAATGCAGGAGCACCCTGAGTCATATCTGGGCACTTATGAGTCCAAGCTCAGAAGAGTGAGGCTCATGGGAATGCAAGATCTTCCAGATCTAAGGTCCACCTTCCTCCCCAGGCCCTGACTTCTCCCCAGAGGAGAAGTGTACATAACCACTCCCTTTAAGGGCAGCCCTGTGCCTAAACCACACAATGGAGTCATCTGTCTAATCACAAACACTTACCAACACCAGCAGCAGAAAGTCATTTCCTTCAACTGGCCTTTCCTTACAAGAAAAAGAAAAAAAGCATCAGCTCTGTGACAATGGGCATGTTTCTTAAACACTCAGTGCCTAATTTTCTCAACTATAAAAGTAGATAATATTGTATCTACCTCATAAGGTTATGTGGATTTAATGGGTTAATACATTCCACATGCTTAGAATAGTGCCTGGCACACAAGTAACAATTTTTTGTTACTTGTATTTAAAAAATAGCTATTTAAAAAAAAAATAGCTATCACTACTCTCCCATAGCAACAGTACTGAGATAGTCCTTCCTTCAAATATATAATTCATTGTAAGCACTGCCTGGTTTATCTGATCATGGATCTCCAAGACTGGAAATCCTGAGGGCTAGAATGAATTTATATTCACATTTCTATTTTCAGTGCATTATAGTGGTACTAGCACAAAGTGACTCTCAATGCATTTTTATTGACTAAATGAATGAATGGATAAATGAATCCACAAACAAATGATTTTCTTATTCAGTCATGTAAAGCCCAGATTACTGAAGAAAAATAATCCACACGAATAAGAAACAGTAATGAAAATAAGGAGAGAATTAAGCATCTCAACGAACCAGGTGCTTCCTTGGTGAGGTGGCAGCATATTCATCTGATGATGGATCAGGGTCCCTGGAAAGCATCCATCATTTCCAATCCTAGGCTTTGCTGGAGGAAATGAACCCCACATGGATAAATTAGTAATAGGCATGATAGTCAGTAACTCATGTTCCTTTTGCAATTTCCTGTTCTACACAGCAGCTTATGCAGATTGAACAAAATGCCACTGATACATCAGAAGCAAACTAAGACATGGAAATGTATAAAAATAAAGCCCTATTTTGGATTTGGTCAACTTTTAACTAAAGATATTCCTTCAAGAAAAATAGTCTGTGAAACAGGCGACCTGCTATTTTAATTCTAATATTTAATGATATTGCAAAAGCCATCCTGATGTTCTGATTATAAGAAAGCAAAAAAAATAAATAAATAAATTACAATTGTAAAACCAGATAAAGAAAGGAGAGCACAGAGACAGAGAGAATCTGACTAAGAACAATTACTAAACTTTAAATTAGTATCTGAGCATTGACTGCGAAATTAGAGTCCACAGTCTTGGGGGCAGAAAATCCAAGTCCATAGGAAAACATTGCTTTTTCTACATTGTAAGATTAAGTAATAGATGCTTTGAATTTCTATGTAGCTTACTAGGAATGATGACTAGGACACTGAGGCCAATGTAGCTAGACAAATACTAACAAGAAGTATTACATAAAAATTTTAAGTTGATCCTCTTAACCTCTTAACTAATTTGCCATCTGCGTGTCAAAATTGTTCTCATTTTACAAACAAACCTGAGAGTCACAAAGTGACTGTCTCAAGATTAGATCATCAGTAAACAGTGGGGTTTGGCTTTAACAATCAGGCATTTTACCCTAAAGATTCATTCTCACCTCTCTGTCAGGTTTCCTGCATGTCACTCTCCTATTAAAGCTGTGTGTACAGTGATAGACATTCATATATGAAATTTACTTCAATATTCAATCAGTAACCATAAAAGTAAAGGAACTAGAGGTAACTTATGGAATATGACATGGAGAATATCTGTTGGCATGAATGGTTTAGCATTATCGCCCTGGTGCTGCCCTCATGAACTACACTAACTTCCTTAGTTAATATTCTTTTCTTTTTTTTTCTTTTTTTTTTTTTTATCTGAGACATATTTATTTATTTATTTATTTAATTTATTTATTATTATTATACTTTAAGTTGTAGGGTACATGTGCATAACGTGCAGGTTTGTTACATATGTATACTTGTGCCATGTTGCTGTGCTGCACCCATCAACTCGTCATTTACATCAGGTATAACTCCCAATGCAATCCCTCCCCGCTCCCCCCTCCCCATGATAGGCCCCGGTGTGTGATGTTCCCCTTCCTGAGTCCAAGTGATCTCATTGTTCAGTTCCCACCTATGAGTGAGAACATGCGGTGTTTGGTTTTCTGTTCTTGCGATAGTTTGCTAAGAATGATGGTTTCCAGCTGCATCCATGTCCCTACAAAGGACTCAAACTCATCCTTTTTTATGGCTGCATAGTATTCCATGGTGTATATGTGCCACATTTTCTTAATCCAATCTGTCACTGATGGACATTTGGGTTGATTCCAAGTCTTTGCTATTGTGAATAGTGCCACAATAAACATACGTGTGCATGTGTCTTTATAGCAGCATAATTTATAATCCTTTGGGTATATCCCCAGTAATGGGATGGCTGGGTCATATGGTACATCTAGTTCTAGATCCTTGAGGAATCGAAATCAAAGAGGACACAAACAAATGGAAGAACATACCATGCTCATGGATAGGAAGAATCAATATCATGAAAATGGCCATACTGCCCAAGGTAATTTATAGATTCAATGCCATCCCCATCAAGCTACCAATGTGTTTCTTCACAGAATTGGAAAAAACTACTTTAAAGTTCATATGGAACCAAAAAAGAGCCTGCATCTCCAAGACAATCCTAAGTCAAAAGAACAAAGCTGGAGGCATCACGCTACCTGACTTCAAACTATACTACAAGGCTACAGTAACCAAAACAGCATGGTACTGGTACCAAAAGAGAGATATAGACCAATGGAACAGAACAGAGTCCTCAGAAATAATACCACACATCTACAGCCATCTGATCTTTGACAAACCTGAGAGAAACAAGAAATGGGGAAAGGATTCCCTATTTAATAAATGGTGCTGGGAAAATTGGCTAGCCATAAGTAGAAAGCTGAAACTGGATCCTTTCCTTACTCCTTATACGAAAATTAATTCAAGATGGATTGGAGACTTAAATGTTAGACCTAATACCATAAAAATCCTAGAGGAAAACCTAGGTAGTACCATTCAGGACATAGGCATGGGCAAAGACTTCATGTCTAAAACAGCAAAAGCCAAAATTGACAAATGGGATCTAATTAAACTAAAGAGCTTCTGCACAGCAAAAGAAACTACCATCAGAGTGAACAGGCAACCTACAGAATGGGAGAAAATTTTTGCAATCTACTCATCTGACAAAGGGCTAATATCCAGAACCTACAAAGAACTCAAACAAATTTACAAGAAAAAAACAAACAACCCCATCAAAAAGTGGGCAAAGGATATGAACAGACATTTCTCAAAAGAAGACATTCATACAGCCAACAGACACATGAAAAAATGCTCATCATCACTGGCCATCAGAGAAATGCAAATCAAAACCACAATGAAATACCATCTCACACCAGTTAGAATGGCGATCATTAAAAAGTCAGGAAACAACAGGTGTTGGAGAGGATGTGGAGAAATAGGAACACTTTTACACTGTTGGTGGGATTGTAAACTAGTTCAACCATTATGGAAAACAGTTAATATTCTTTTCTAGAAGGACAGATGTTATGGTTTAAATATAAGTGTCCCCCCAAAATTCATATGTTGGAACTTCACAATCCATGTGATAATATTAAGACATAGGGTCTTTTAGGAAATGATTAAGTCATGAACACTCCACCATCATGAATGGGAAGCACTTCCCCATCATGAATGTGATTAGTGCTTTTATAAAAGAGGTGGAAGGGAGTGCCCTAACCCCCTTTTGCCCTTCCACATTTCACTATGTGAGGATGTAGCAACAAGATATAATCTTGGAAGAAGACACCTATTCCTCACCAGACATTGAATCTGCCAATGCCTTGGTCTTGGACTTCCCAGCAACCAGAACAGTGAGAAATAAATTTCTATTATTTATACATTACCCAGTTGTGGAATCTTGTTATAACAGCAGGAAGGGACTCAGATAAGATAACAAAGAACAACAATATCTCAGCAGCTTTGGTAACAGTGAATCCACCCACTGTTGCTACTCTGTACTGAAGAAGCTGTGAGGGCAAAATTTTAGAAAGAAAACCATGTGTGCCTTATAGCATAGGTTATGATAAATACTAATATATCAATCTAATATAGGGAAAAGTAACCAAAATAGTCACAATGGCCTGAAGAAAATCATGTAATGTAGAAAGCTAACTAGATATTTATGTAACTATCTGAGTAGATATGTTAGAATTAAAAGACAGTAAAGTAGAATATGAATACTTATTATTTATCATATTCATAGGTTTTAATGTTCTACAAAATATTTCACAATCGTGTTTTTACTATTCTTCTGAATTGCTCCCAGAGTGGCTCATATTTTCTATCATTGTCTGAGAAAAAAACAATATTTACACCAGGTTAAAAGATTCAGGAATATCTGCTTTTCCTGAGCTGATGCAACTTTGAGAAGAGAGAATGGAAAAATAAATGAAATTTTTTACAGCCTAACACAAAGAGCCTCAGCTGAGATGGCCAGAAGTAGGACCCTACCTTTGCTATCCTTGGAATCCTAGTTCAATTGACCTCATCAAGAAGTGGACCAAATAGAGGCAAGTGGCTCACACCACTGTTTATTTTCTGAGCTAGGCTTCCCAGGAAAAACTCTCCTGTGTTTTTTTCTCTGTAGAGAGAATGCCATGTCCCCTGGAAGCCAACTAAGAGTCGGGGTGGGGTGGGTGCAGAACAAGAAGAAGATATAACCACTAGAGCACCATTTCCAGCTCTCCACACCCCTATTACAAAAGAATGAGCGTCCCATATCTCTTTCTAGCATTTCAATCACTGCCCCATCCTTTGCAATGATGAATGAACTGTTTTAAGCATTTACACAGAAATTTTTTTTTAATCCTAGCAATTCGAAGAGGATATTATCATACCCATTTTAAAAACAAACAGAGACTTAGAGAGTTTAACCAACCCGACCAAGGTGACTCAGCTAGTCAATAAAGAGTCCAGATTTGAACCCCGAGATGATCTGAGCCCAGGGGACACTGCATCTTGCTACAAATATCTTTACATTGAGGGTAAAGTGGCATAGAGCTGGACTTTGCATCTTCGACATTTGAAATTTCTCATTCTCTGTTTCTGCTAAAAGTAAAGGCAACACTCCTAAAAAGCCTTACTTGTACGACAATTTTTACAATCAACCCTGAGGTTTCCTTTCCTAGAATTCATCCTAGTAAAATTATTTGAAAACTGACTAATGATTTGTCATTTCTTGAGAAAGGTGTCCTTCTGCCTCAGGATTTCCTAGGATCCCGGCTGGTTGAACAACAAAGGGGTCATGAATATGATAACTCCTGGCTCACTGCATTAAGGGGTGCCCCAAACCTGTAATGTGGTGATATGAGTCCCCCAATTGCTGGATACTTTCAGAAAATGAATCATCCTAGCTGGTGTACCCACATATTTCCACAGCATGTACACACACAGTTCAGAAAGCAGCCATTTGCAGAAACAACAGAACTGTATTCACTAACCAAGGGAAGAAGAAATATAACTCAAAGATTAAAAAGGGAGGGGGCACTTCCCCTTCTCTTTCTTCCTAACATCATAATTCAGCCTTTCAGCCATGTACTTCCATGCTTGATCTTTTCTCTTTTAATGTATTATTTGTGTTGCAGCTGCCGCTGGGAAACTTTGATGTAAGGGACCTGAGGGGGGCAAGGATGTCATCCTGGGGAAGCAGGGATGTCCCTTTGGCACTGTGAGCTCTCTCCCTCACTTACTTCCTTTCAAGCTTACCCATATTGTATCCTGCAAGAACT